TTGTGGATCCGTGGCTGTTCAACATAAAGGACCATGAGTAAAGACAACTTTGTTTCCTCTTTTCCTGTGTGGACCTGCTGTGTCCTGTTCCTGCTCCCTGCCCTGAGGTGGTCTCAGTGGGAGGTTCTCCCCCAGCCCCATCAGCAGCCTGTGGTTTGCAGAGGGCCTCAGCTGGCTGAGGACGCCTCTGGTTTTGTCTTTTTATTGTTGTTTGTTGTGGGTCTTCTCATTTGTCTGCAGGGTAGTGGTGGCAGGATGTCGTCACATGCTTTCCCCTTGTCTAGGAAGGTGACCTGTGGCTTCCTTTTTTGAGCCTGTCAGTGTTTTCTGAATGGTGCACCCATCTTGCCTTCCTGGGTGAAAAACCCGTTTGGTCACGATTACTACCGTTTTTATAAATTATGGGATTTGATTTGCTAAGTTTTGGTTTAAAATTTTGTGCCAGTGTCCTTAGGAGATGGTATCTTTTTCTGGTTTGGCTTCCAAAGTAACTTCTGGCTTCCCAGGAACCCGCTGGGTATTTCCTGTGTGGGGGCTATTTATTCTGGCTTCCCAGGATGACCCGTGGAGTATTTCTTTCTTTTTGATCACCTGGAATTATTTGTAGAATATTAGTTTATTAGTTTTATTTATTTCTTCAATGTTTTGTAGAAATCACTGCTTCATTGCTCTGGGGCTCCAGGGTGTGTGTGTGTGTGGGGGAGGTTGAACTGAAACTGTGTTTACTAGACAGAGGTCTGTGCTGGTCACGGATCTCCCCGACTGAGTTTTGGCAGCCTGTGTCTTTTCCGTTTGTCCATCTAATCTGAATGGTCAAATGTATTGGCATAAAGTGGCTTGGAGTACTTCCTGGTAGCTTTTTAGTATCGCAGAATCCGCTGATGTCTCTCCAGCTCCTGCGCTGGCCACCCTCCTGATCAGCCTGTCCAGGGTGTCATCAGTCTACCAATCTTCTCAGAGAACCAGGCGTTGGTGTCCACGACCTTGTTGCTTTTCTGGTCTTGATTTCGTTGGTTTCTGCTCTGATCATCCTCATTTCTCGCCTCTACCCATGCAGTTGACTTTGCTCTTCTTTTTTGAGTTTCTGAAGATGGACGCTGCAGTCATGATCTGAGACACTTGTCATACAGGCGTTCATTGCTGTAAATGTCCCCCGGGGCACATGTGAGTACACTGTGTGTTCATTCGCTTCAGAATAATTTCTTATTTCCTCTTTGATTTCTTCTTGGAACGATGCATTATTTGGAAATTTTGAAATTTAGTTTCCAAATATTTGAGTATTTTTCCAAAGAGCTGGGTTTCACTCTAGTCACAGAACCCGAGTCCCTGGAGATTTGCTGAGGCTTGTTTATGCTCCACAGAGGGGTCTGCCTGTGTCTTGTGTGCACCCCTGCCTGAGACGAACCTGTGACCTTCTGTTGGTGGAGCGTCGGGAGCGTGGATGAGCCTGGCAGTGGATGGTGTCTTCTTCCCCATCCCCAAATGTTCTGTCCGCTTGTCCTGTGCTGATTGAGACAGGGCTTTGGCGTCTCCAGCTCTAACGTGGGTTCACATATTCTCGGTTCTATGGGTTTCCGTATGTGCATTTTGAAGTTTTCAGGAGGTTCACCCGTTCTGAGGGTCTAACGCCCTCCGGGGGATGTCACCTAATGCTATGAGGTGGCCTTTCCTCGGGCTCTTCCTTACTTGCCGACACATTTCCACTTACTCTGACTAGTGTGCGGATGGAGAGTCTTTCCCTTTTGTGTCTATGGCTGAAGTGTGTGTTCTGCGGGCACCAGGTAGCTCGGTCCTGCTTACCATCCTGAAGTTGCTGGCCTTTAATCGGGGCGTCCAGAATACTTACATTTCATGCCGTTGGTCTGAATCTGTTTGCTGCATGGGATCCTCACTCCTCTCTGCTCTCTCCGCCCCTTTCTGGATGGGTGATCTTGGCCATTCCATTTTGCCGCCTCCGTTGGCTTTTGAACCATTCCCGGGTTTTGCTGTCCTGGTGCTGTTTGCTGTGTTTGTTGTGTGCACCTCTGTTATCACTGAGCGCCTTCAGCCAGGGACGCGGCCTCTGCCCAGTGGCCTCATGCTGCACCCCTCTCCCCTACAGCCTCTGTCCTGGGGCTGTCGTCCACTTGACCCGGACACTCTGAGCCCCGGGCTGTACTGATGAGCAGTTCTCTTACAGAATGAAGTAAGACGTCACATGCTGACACGGTGGTCACCTTGTTTGTGACTCTGCCCTTCGCTCAGATTACGTTCCCATCTGTGTCGTTTCCTTCTGCCCTGACTTCTGTCATTTCCCCCAGTGCCCTTCTGGGTGATTAGTCTTGGAGCTTTCTATGTGCAGAAGGATGTTTATTTTGCCTTCATGTTGACAGATATTTTGCCGAGCAAGAAGCCCTCAGGTTTCCTCTCCCAGCACGTGTCTCCTCCTGGCACTGTGCCTGACTGACCTTCTCCCCACAGCTGGCTCTGATGGCGATGGCCTCAGCACCGTTGTCTTTGTCATGTCTGGGGGTCACAGAGCTCCTTCCTGCCGCTGTGCAGTGTGCCGATTCTTGACCCTCTCACACTGTGACTCGCTTGAGTTCCGTGGCTGTTGGACACTTTATTATCCCTATAAATATTCTTGAGTTTTATTCTGGGAAGCAGCTGAATTACGGGGAAGCTGTCTAACTCATCCAGGTCTGGCTTTTAAGATCCTTACATAGAAGCAGAGCTCGGCCAGGGCTAACCACACCCTCCTGCTGCCTTGGTCACGCTGGTCCAAGGGGAATCGGCAAAGGGAATGGAGACATGGCACTGCAGTGAGAGGGCTCCAGGCTCTGCCCTGGGAGACAAGAGAAGAGCCTTCGAGAGACAGCATCCATGATGGGGTGATCTCGGGCAGCTGGGGTCTGCGATTCTCCGTGATGTTCTTGGCCTCCCTGGGGTGGGTAATGGGAGCTGATGTGCCCAGGGCTGGACACTGTGTCCTGCTCGTGGTGGTGTGGAGTGTGGAAGGCGAGGCGGGGCCCCGGCCATGACGGCTTCGTTGCTTTGGGGCTGCTGCGGTACCTGGGGCGAAGGCGCCAGCATTGTGCTTTCCCAAGATGCAGCCGGTGTCCTTGAATGAGCAACCCACATTGCTGCACCCCTTCGATTGATTTCCAAAGGTTTGAAAATGTCGATCCTGATAATTTTTATTAAGTCATCGTTCTCTTGTTGCTTTCCCTCATTTCACTGACACCACTGACACTCTTTTTAGAAATTACATAAGGAAACTGTTTATTCACAAAACAAATCACAGGAAATCAAAATGTGTAAGTTATACGATCAACCCCTGGCTTTCCTGGGCCAATCTGTGATAAAACAGCGCATGTTTGCAGAACTGAACGCATACACATGGCGCCCTCGTGTGTACTGTGGCTTATTACAGTTTGCCTTCCTCCAGGACCCGCTGGCTTTCCTTGCCCTCCCTTCTCACGGGAGCACCACTCCCAGATGGAGCAGACGTTCCAAGGCCTAGCAGGCGCCCTCTTGTGGACGTTCACGTTGTGTTTAATCTCTTACTCTACCTACTCCCGCGTCCTTTTATGTGCTTTTTATGCCCTTGCCCCATTTATTTTGGGGGGCCGGCTCCTGGGAGTGGGGTTTCCAGGTCTCAGGACACGGAGAGGAAAGGGTGCACGTGGAGAGAAGGTCTGGCCTCATTTCTGAGCTGCTCCTTCCTGCTCCCGGTTAGACACGGCGCTCCTTCAGGGAGGTTGGGTAGAAGGATCAAAGTCATCAAAAGTCTTGCAGCCATTTTTCTGGAAATCTCCTTTTTATGGCTTTTAAGTTTTTAGCAAAATCTGGTAACTTCTTGGTGAACATCTGATAGCCTGCAGGTTCCTCATGAAGATGGTGCAGAAGGTCTGGATGTGGCCCTACTGTGTGCCCTCCTCATAGCCCCAGAGGCTGGAGGTATAGCAGATGGTAATGCTGGCCACTGCACAGAGGCTCCTGGGGGTGGGCCCCCACTTACCTCTGGGTATCTCCAGCAAAAGGCTCTTCTGCCCATTAAGAACAAATACATGGAAAGTTTGTGACAATCCCGAGACGTTTGTGTAGCCTTACAGACTCGCTTTATCAAAAGCTAAAATGATTAAACCACGTTCAGTGGTTTCCTGGCTCAGCAACTGTGGTTCATACCCTTGCCGGGTATTGGACCCTCAGCATCCATGAAGGACTTGTCCCAAGACCTTGGAGACGAATTGAAAAACCCCTGACTCCTTCAGACTCCTCATGGCTCTATAAGTAGGTCATTTATAAACTATCAAAACACCTGTGACAGCCAGATGCTCGTCCAGCTGTGACGCCGCATGGTGGCCTACCTCCCAGTCCCTTCCAGGATGCAGGGAGAGCGGGCTGTTGCTGAATTCAAAGCCCAGGGGAGGAGACAGATGATGAACTGGCCAAGAAGAAGATGTCAGTTGAGGAAGGGACAAGGCAGGCGGTGTGATGGGGACTGACTCCAGCCACATCGCACTGTTCTGAAGGAGGCCAACCCTGGACGGCCCGGGCGGAGCTGGGGTAGGCAGAGGGTAGGAGACTATGGACCCTGGAGATGGGACCTGCTAGGAATACAAGGCTCACGTGGTCAGAAGGGGGTGGGCAGGCAGGCAGGAGGTCAGTGCCACCCTGGGGACGGGGCGATGGCTGCCATGGAGGCAGTTGCTGTGTGATTTACAGCCCAAACTTAGACATCTTTGGAAAAAAAAAAAATGGGCGCTGCAGGTACCAACCAGGGCTGTCCCTGTGACCTAGATGCATGCTCCCCGACCTGGAGCGTGTGGCCTAGTGGGGGCTGGTGAACTGGCTTGGTGGCATTAGGCCCCTGGGCTGGCACACTGGGTCCTTCCAGCTCCCTCCCTCCCTCCCTCCGCCCCAGACCCCCTCCTCCTGCAGGCTGTGTTACTCCAGCACTCCTCTAAGACCTGTTTTCTTTGTCCCCTTATCGCCCTGTCCCCTGATGGGTCTCTTAGGAACCCTGCCCAGGAAATGCAAGAAGGAGCTGCTGGCCGTGAAGCTGAGGAACCGGCCAAGCAGGCAGGAGCTGGAGGACAGGAACATTTTCCCCAGGAGGACGGACGAGGAAAGGCAGGAAATTCGGCAGCAGATTGAAATGAAACTCTCCAAGTAAGTGGCACCGTGCGGACGGGGTGACCTCAAGGTCTCTGAAATCCTGCCGCCTCTGGGCGCTGGGGGTCTGTGCCATGTCCTCACGCCTCGGCACTGGCTGGCTAGCTCTGCTGAGCGTTCTGGCCTCTGTTCCTTCCCATCGCAATTAGACCATCCCAGAGTTTCCCCCAGCCCCTTGCAGGGGAAGCACTCCTGTGGTGGACAGCCGGCGGGACATGCCTTGCACAGGCTCTGGTGGGGGCAGTTCCCATTCACCTCCCACTGGTTTCCTATGAGAATGAGGTTGTCTGGCCTGATACCGCTAGAGCCTCTGAGTTTTCCAAGAAAAACTGTACTCACATATGCACACCTGCGCATACATACACGCATGTGTACACACATACACACACGCACACACATTGTGGAGGAGGGTGTGTTCGCCGGGTCAGTCTGTGGCCCAGAGCCATGAATAAGCACCTTCTGTACCTCCCCACCCAGCCCTAACTTCCGGTGGAGATGACTGTGCTAAGGGGCTGCGCAGTGGGCTACTGCATGCTGGTGGCTGAATGTTCTGGAAGGCAGAGTGGCCAGAAATTAGGGGTTGGACTGTGAAGTGTGGTGGCTTTCAAGAGCCAGCTGCCTCCCAGGTTGCTTTCCCTGTGCCAGAGCCACTGGGGCCAGGACACCCAGAGCTTGCTCCCCCTCCCAGTCCCAGCTGTGGCTACTGCCTGAGGTCAGCGCAGAGTGGCCCAGTGGGCATTACCCAACAAGGAAAACTGGGCTCTTCTAGCAGGCGAGGGCTTAAGGTGGGCCGATGGCAGCCCCAGTTGTCTTGTGTCTCTGGACCAAGGAAGCAGCCAGGGAGCCCCCGCTGCAGTCCCGGTGTGCAGCACCCTCCCCTCCCTCTTCCCCTCCTATGCACAACTGGACGCCCCCAGCCCACCCTCCCCTCTTCCAACCCAGAGTTGGCTCCCTGCAGGGGGAGACAGGCTGTCAGAACTGCTCAGGTGGTGACTCCGTCTCTGCTCCCTGGACCTCCCGTCAGCGCTGGTGCCCCGTGCGCCTCTGGCCTGGGTTTTTCAGCTGTGCAGCAGGGGTGATGCCAGCCTCCTGGCTCCCTGCAGACGAGGCTGCTCAGTGTGGCCCAGGCCTGCTGCAGGTGCTGGGGGCTGAGGCAGGGTGGGCTCTGGAAGCCACAGACCCTGGTTTGCACTGATGATCAGGACATGTTGGCGAGTACCCGCCCGGCTGTGAGGTGCGTGCTGGCTCTCTCAAAGCCCCTGAGAGTGTGTGGGAGATCCTGAGAACCCACTGCGCTCCCCTGAGTGCTGCTGTGCCTAGTAAACCCTGGTGGCCGCTGCTGCTGCAGCCCTAGAGACCTGGAGCCCAGCCTCCAGCCCCTCTGCTGCCCCTGCCCTAAGCTCTGGGGCTGTGATGGCCTGGGGCCCAGATCCAGGTCAAGGAATCCAAGGTGGCCATGGCTCCCGGTCAAGGAGCTTTGAAAGTTCGATGGTGCAGGACTTGAGTGTCCTTGGTGAATGCTCCACTCTGGAGAGGCTGGGAAACCCCTGGCCTCATTAGCCTGCTGGGAGTGAGGTTGTCTAGCCATGGGGTGGGGAGGGACATTGTGTCACCAGGCTGTTGGAAGCTGCTGCACCGTTTCCCTCCCCAGAGTGCCCAGGGGCTGCGGCCACCTTGGGGTTCCTTTCTGCCCCGCAGTGGTGGGACTGGGGGCCCGGGCTTTGGCTTTCCATCTCTCTGGCCCCTCTTGAGCTGGGACATTTTGCCGCCTCCTCCTCCTCCTCCTCCTCCTCCTCCTGAACTTGGCCTAAAGTTCTCAAGTCATCCCAGCAGCTCATGGTCAGCGGGGCTGCACTGCTCATTGGGCCCCAGTTCCTCAGGTGCTGGGTCCTCCTCCCTGTGTGTGGCTTGCAGAGGTCCCTTGACCTACACTGGGGTCACTGGGGCCACAACAGGGTGAGATGGAAATGCATCAGTACCCCAGGCCTGCAGAGCAGGCAGCGCGGCTGACGTCACTGGACAGGTGGGTGGTTCCCCTGTGCACCTGGTGGACACAGCTGACAGGGGCTGCCTTGCTGCCTGGTGTGAGCACGGCTCACTGGCCCAGGGACAGCAGAACCTTGAAGCTGAGACGTGGTGAGTTGAGCTGTAGTCAGAAACTGTTTTCATTGCTGAATGCTTTTCCTGGGTGTGCAGATGGCTTGGTAGTTAAGGTTGTCAGATCTGTACTTCAGGAGCTGATGGACTTTCACCGTGAAGGGCCAGGTAGTGACCACTTTCAGCTTTGTGGCCACACTGTGTTGCACCTCCTTGACTCAGCCATGGAGTCACTGTGGCCAGCGTCGCTGCTGTGTGAAAGAGCAGGCGTGGCCAGGTGGCAGGAGAGCTGTTTACAGTCAGGTAGTGGTTGTGGGACCAGGCGCTCCTATCACTTTAACTGCCTTGTGTGAAAAGTGCCCCGCCTGCAGGTCTTTACCCACCCTTGCCTTCTAACTGTGACCTGGAAAAGGCTTGTCTATTTGAAAAAGTTCTCTTTCAAACTGAAATATTAAGGGACTGGACTTAAACAAAAAATACACATAAATAATGATAGCACAAGTGGTCCAAAAGTACTACCATAGTCGTCATGATGGCACTGGGGACAAGGGAAGCGGGAGCCCGCCCCAGCCATGGATGCACAGGGACACTGGGAGAGTTGGGGCTGCCTGGGATCACCTGCAAGGTCCTTTGCATCACTGTGACCAATGCCTCACAAGAATTCTTCAGAGTGGAAGGGTTTATTTTGGCTCGTGCTTTCCGAGGCTCAGTCCTGGCCATCTGCCTTTAAGGTAGAAACGTCTTGGAGCAGAGGACGGTGGAGCAAAGCTGCCCAGCTCCTGGGCACTGCAGAGCAGAGGCAGGGACTGGGGAGAAGATGAACCCTTGACAGAAGGTCCCAGAGAACTGCTTCCTCCAAATATGTCCCACCTCCCAGTGGCCCATGCAGTTATGGACGTATTAACCCCTCACGTGGTGGAATCCACTGAGGAGTCGGAGACCTCATGATCCAACCATTTCCCTAGAGTGCCACCTCTGGTCCAGGCCACATTGGGGACCAAACCTTCAACACATGAGCCCTTGGGGGACACTGCAGATCAAACCTTAACAGCCTCTTATTTGAGAAGTGCCAAAACCATAGACCCTGGGACTAGACTTATCCCATTACTCATTGGACCCCTAACCAGTTTTAAACCTTAGATTAGAACGCAGCAGCCCGGTGGACATTTGTCTCCATGTTTAGAATTGGAAAGCCAACCAAATAGACACAGGAAACAGCAGTTGAAAAAGGACCCCCGAGGTCCCATGTGGCTTCCCAGGAGCTCTGTGTGTGTCTGCAGGGTAGGCTAATTGGGCCCTTTGTCTTTGCCTCCCTTCAGAGATCTCCCACCATCTCCTGCTGAATAACTCAGCCTCTGGTTGCCCTGGCAACTGGCCATCCTCCACTCCCCGGAGGTGCCTGGTGTTTTCATTTGTTTTAATTTTTCATTTCCAGACCCTTCGTATCTTAAGCCCCACTGCTCGGGCCTCTTCTGGATGAGGTGGTCACTATTGCCACCCCCACCCCACAAACACCCTGCATGCTTAGTCTGGGGACCACAGCACAGTTGGGGTCACCTTTGTGGGGATGAGCCTATTTTCTGGTGGGCACTTAGCTCTCCTTCAAGACCGTGTTGGTAAAGGGACAGAGTGTTGGGGACCTGTCCTGGAAACCACCACCTGGTGCCACCTGCTTCCTGTCTGCCACACCTCCCAGGAGAGCCCACTATGGGGGAGCGGCCATGAGCTGTCAGCCGTCTCTCCCTCCCTGTTAAGTCACCCTCCCTGGACCCCAATTTGGAACTTCTATCATCTCCATCTTACAGCTGAGACCAAGCCTCAGCCAGGGGCCACAGGCTCAAGGGTCCCAGGGCACAGCGTGGTCAGGCCCTGGGCAGGAAGGTGTCGTGTGGCCTCATCTATCCCAGGGTTTTGAAGAGTCTTCGGTTGGTCTGGCTTCACTGTGGGTCTTCCAGCCACCAGCCCACACACAGGGCTCGGGTCGGGGAGACTTCAGACTGTGTCGGGAGGGGAAGACTGCCTGCCTGGTACTACGACGGGGAGGGAGGGCAGCTCCTTGGTGAACACACCCAGGAGGCGGGCAGCCCAGCAGGGCTTGGAGAAGGGAGGGCCGATGGGCTTGAATGCCACCCTGCCCTCTCTGTCGTGCCCCTGTGTAGCAGTGCCACCAGCCCAGGACCTCCCTCCTGCTGTGAGAAGTGGGGAAGGTGGTGGCCCTGCAGAGTTTCTAGGTGAGCCCATATGACGGGTCCCATGAGCACGTTCCCAGAGGAGGGGCCAGGGCTGGAGTGCTGTGGTCATGGCTGTGGCCGGGCACACTCCTGGGCTGATTGTCATTTGCACAGGGCACAAGGCCACCAGCAGGCCTCATGAGGAGGAGAGACTACGCAGGGGTGGGAGGGCACGGATGCCAGCAGCTGGTGGCCAGAAGCCTCGCTGTGCTTGCTGCTGGGGGCCTGTTCTGTGGTGCTGGGACTGTGCCTGGAGACCCGGGGCTGGGCGGCCTTCCTTACTGCTCCCGCGGGGAGCCCTGTGTTCTGAGGCTGCGGGCGAGAGGCCGATTACAGCTCCCTGGCACCCTTCAGGGTTGGCACTGGGCATGTGGATGCCGTCCTTAACTCATCTTCCACCTTCCCTCGGGACGTTTTGTTCTGCATCTAAAAAAGACTGCTTTGTTCAGGTCTGAGGGGGAACACCATGTTCTGGGGGAGAATGTGTGGCTGGAGTGCCCCAACCTCGTCCCCACCACAGCCTCCATCCTCACCCATGGCTGCCATGCCTACCCCACAGCCACCATCCTCTGCCCCTGGCCTCCACCCCTACCCCACGGCTGCCATCCCCCACCACACTCCCACTGAGATCTGAAGTTCTGTGAGGCTGCCTGATGCTCTTTAGGGTGG